AAAGCTTAAATTGAGCAGAATCTGTGGGAGAGTTCTTTTTCAAACAAATATTGACTGCTGCTTCTCACGGTGCAGTAAAACTAGCCTCCCTTGGTGATTTGTAAAGCATTCTATTTCCCCTTGGCTTCATGGAAAGCTTTGTGGGTCACCTTGGGAGGCTGGGTTCATTACACCGCTCAAATCTGTCAGTGCTTGAATAGCATTTTGGATTTACATGACTGAGCAGTATAACTGCTCAAGCTTAAACGTACATAGCCTTCCATGCAACAGTGGTCTCCAATTTCTGTCTTCCAAGAATCTTCATAAATCGTAAAAGCCCTTGATACTTCTGAGAAATTCTCCACAAATGTTGTCGTTCGCATTCCGTGGTCATGTGAAGACAGGTAGTCAGCTCAGGTCAAACCTTCTGCATTTGGAGGATAAATATCTTTGTGAAAATCCCAGATTGGTAGCATTTCCATTTTACTTCTATCTCCATCCCAGCAAGCCCACTCATTCTGTTCCTTTCAATCACTCAATGAAGACACTTTTTTTCTGACTCACCCTCATTATCCCTCTTTCTCTAGTTTACCTCTCCGAGATTTTGCAGGACTTGGTCTACAGTAGTTTATAACATGCAGGATATCTTGTGACATCCTACAGTGCTTTGGCATGTACTAGTACAGTGTACTTATGTGAACATGTACACTGTACATCTTAGGTTTGGGGCTTGTAAATTTGGGGACCCTGTTCCTATAGTAGAAGGGTAAGCTACATTTTAACTCTTGAATTCACCTTGGGAGATGACTGTGACATCATGCTCAATAACTGTAGGGTTAATGTTGTCAAACAAGGGCAGGGCTTTGAGTTTTGAGGGAAGTTATGAGGGGAAACTGTGAGTGTTTTTAATACATGACACGTGGTGGATTCAAATTTGCATGGCTGGTCCATCAGTAAGGAAGAAAGTCACATTTTCTCACAATTTACAATTTGAATAAAGAGAGCGTTGCCTTTGTTTTTTGGGGGGGGACTTACCAGTTTTGCAAGATTAAAATGTCAAAAAACTGGGGGTCCCCAAGTATACAATCCCCTTGAGTTTTGTGTTTGGTTCAGAGCTGAGCCCCCAAACAATACAACTCATTTGGGAAGCAAGTGCAGTTTCTCCCTACACCTGATTAAGTGGCAGACGCAGCGACTGCTAGGGATCAGCAATTCATACATGCTATGCAAAGGGGGCATCTGCAGTTCCTAGAATGTAATCATCATTGATTTCTGATATCTTGCATTACCACCGTCGGCATACCATCAGTACCATAAGGAACAGTTGGCACACATCCTGTGCAGGTACATTAACAATCCAGGTGCATCTTCTCTGATTCCAGGGATCTGTGGGGTGTCGGCTAGGATCATCTTTCCATTAATCACTCCCATCCAGCCTGTTCTCACCACACCCAAAGTGCTTAGCTTGCATCCAATTTCCGCGCTGTCCTCTTCTTTGAAAAGTTGTTTACGTTCTCTCATGGAAGTCATAAGATGCAGCTGTTCCCCCATCTCTGCTCGTGACACCGTATCAAAAATAGTTGTAAATAGTTATTTTTTCATTACCAGAAGTATGCAAGTAGGGGAATATATTTTTGTTTTGCTTGGGCCACATTTCTGTCCCGGTGGGTGCAGATGTTCTGTGTTAAGATTTCTGGTTATAAACAAATGATTCTAGCAATAATAACACATGCAAAGAATCCAGCGTGATACAGATCAACTTTTATTTTATGGTTCCGGTACATTCCAGACTTAGAAAAACATTTTTGTATAACTTAATTTTTTTCTGAACTTTACTTTACAGAATGTCATAAACCAGTTTTCAACACTAGCAGAGAATGAACGCTGTGAATACGTTGGCAATGTGGAAGTGGGCAAACACATCTCTGTCACTGAACTGCTTCAAGCTTATGATGTGGTTGTGTTGGTAAGCTGCTTAAATATTAAGGACAGGCTTTGCACTAAGAAAAACATTTGCACATCCCGGAGCAATTGCGAGGGGTTAATTTCTGAACCAAAAATGTCCAGGGAATTTGCATGGGTATTTCTGGAAAGGTAATGACTCAAGAGTATTCAGATTGGCTTGTCTGTGATTTCTTGGAAGTGGGCCACTATACCAGTAAGCAAATAGGTGATGTCACACAAGGAGATGAAAACCAAGGCTAACAATTAGCTATAAAAAACAAACATAAAACCTTGCCCATGGTGACATCGTTTCCTCTGACAAATTGTTTTAGTTACCTGAAGAAAGAACAAAGTGTTTAGTAATACTTCTGGGATATGCAACCTCTAGGATCCAATGACAATATTGAGCCAGTTGTTTGTTGCCTTACGACGAACGGCATCTTTTTACTGCAACAACAGCCTCTCGATCTGGAAAATGTACTTGAAGCACATTTAAGCCAGAAGAGTAGACCAGAATCACTATACACAACAACAAACTTTAATTTTTTCATAAGATTGCCTTTTAATTAGTAAAAGATGCCAAAAAAGTCCTCAGCAGGGGACTTGTGAAGTGATCAGATAAAACAGTGGTTCCAGAAGAGAAAAAAAATATTATTTAAAAAAAATCAAATTACAAAATGAAATTTTATTAAAAATAAGTTGTCTCACAAGGAGGGAAAATAGGCTAAAACACAACACTTTAACACCATTCCCTTTCTGACAATTGAAACAAGCCTCCATAGTGCAGTGTTTCTTATTTAAAACAAAAGAAAATTATCCCTTCCTGTTTATGAATTTTGCATTTGAATGTTCAAATTCGGAAAATAATAGCCCTTTCCTACATGGTACTTACGTCTGATAACCAGGTCATATGAGATACTCCATGCTTAGTAACCACAACATCCTCAGCAAGAATACTACTAACCATGTGAAGTTTACTTGGAGTTGGAGACACAAGTACCACTTCATGAGGAATAATAGTTACAATTAAATTTGATATTATATGTAATTTATAGGGTCAAGTGTAGTCAACATATGCATGATTAAACACTGTGTATTGTAAAGGTGATGCTTCATTCTTGCATGTACAGCATACATACACCTCCCTGATGAAGGTTTCTCTTCTTGACCCAGTAACTGACACCATACTAAGAACACTGGAAAAGTGGAACGGTGGGAAAACGTACCGTCTACTTCAGATCGACTTGTTTTCATGGATCTGTAACACACACATTGTCAATGTTTGCAAATCAGAATGAAAGAAATGCCAGCCAAGGTCGAGTGGATATATACCAGGGAATAGGTTGCACTTGGCACACTTGTGCATACTTTCCTTGGCATGCATCTTGTATGCTGAAAGCCCTCCACTGTCCATATTACCGAATCAATCATAAATTGGATTCCGAATTTGAGACGGCGAGCAAATCCCAGCAGGGGTAACTCAAGATTCATGTGCGGTGGGCTGGGACTGTCTGATTGGATTTACAGTTTCAGTAATACCGTTGTGAAGATTATTTGTGTTGTTTTTTTATCACTTTGACTGGTATGCCAGCTTTTCCACTTGACGAAACTGCTTCTTTTTTTCCAAAGTCTGGCAAAAAAAAGTTGATCCACTATTCCAGATCATAAGTTGGCAAACATCTTGCAAAAACCATATGCGCATATATACCGGTACATGCATGCATTTCAATGGAAAATGAAATCTGCTTCTCAGTCTCGAGTTTTGTACTAGGAATATTTCCATCATTTTTGTAATGTTTCCCAAATTCTTACTGTCAAAGCACAGAATTTTAAAAAGCCACTCAAAAGATCACCCCATTGGTTCTCCTTCCAGGTATCTCTGAATGCATGGTGATGCTCACCTGAGGATATTTAACCCATGCAATATTTGCGTTCACTTCAGATCAAATCCTACTCATGGCTGTTGAATGATTAAGTTCAAACCTGCATAAATTACCTTTGCCAAGTAGGCATTTAAATTGTAAAAGTCTCCTGTGTGAGTGTGGATTCCTCAAAAGGCATGCAGAGGTATGTACGACAGTAAAGCTTGTGCTTTAGATACTCCTAAAGGTCACTTTTGAAGAGTTTTGTGAATTTATTGCATTAGGAATCCATCAGTTCTGTCTGTGGAGTTGATGCCTTTGAGTCGTTGCCCTACAAAAATGCACTCAATTTAGGAGAAAAAAAAAAGCACCTGCAGGTTTCTTATGTCATAAACCTTTCCGCGTGGATTGAGCATAACCCCAGTTTAGAGAGAACAGCAAAGAATACATGTTTATTCACTGGCAAAAACTACATGCACTGGCGTGTTGCTGTAATGTACATGTACACGTAGGTGGCGTTCTCACATTTTGCAGGGCCAGGAAATTGTTGCTCCCCTCATCATATCGCATAAGTGGTCAACAAATGTGCATTTGGCATGCACATATTGGCTCATGAATATGCACAGGTTGAACTTGCCTAGCATGTTCAGCAATTTGTCTTTGATTTGACATTAGCATTCCACTTTAATATTTTATCCATGCTCTGTTCGGTTCTGTCGAGATCCAGTATGTTTTGAAATCTGCTATTACTTTGCAAGCATTGGTAGTAAAAGCAGACTTCACTCCAAAAAATTTTTCATCAATTTAAAGATGAGTTTGTGAATTAGAAATGTGAACACATGTCATATTTCCCTGTCTACAAGTGTACTGTATCTAACATAAAGATAAAATATGGGGGGGATGTGGCATAGTGGTTAGGGTTTGTAGCTTCCGCTCACAGGGTCAGGGGTTCGAATCCAGCTGGTGGCAGCATGTTGTGATCTTGGGCAGGTCATTTTACCCCTATGTGCCTCTCTCTAGCCGGGAGTAAATGGATTCCAGACATAGTAATGTTTAGCCATTTGCACCGAGATGGTAGCATTGGGATAGTATACTCCCTAGGGAGCTGAGATGGTTTCATGAATGTCCAGATGATGTGAGCCCAATGTGCAGGAATAATGATGATAAGCACATGGAGACATTCCATAATATGCGCTATATCAAAACTGACTAGTATTTTTATTAATATCCAATTGACGAATCTGGCTACCAGACTAATTTTGTATGCAGTGCTGTGGGGGAGGGGGAGGAGTTGCAGACTCTGGGCATTGCTTGCTCTTGACCTGAGAGTTGTTATTCTTGTGACTTTCAAAATAGCACACATCAGCTTGGAGACTACAAAGTCAATCTTCATTAAATGTAAGGTATTTTTGGTTTGAACAAACATCAGTTATCTTAAATAAAGAACAAATCTGACCCTTTGTTCACATCAGAGTGTTCTGTTAAGATAAGCCAGGGTACATTGATGTTAGTTTAACCTGCTTGTAGATGTAGATGTATGTAGTATTTTTGTTTTATGAAATCTTGGTAATGTCAGGATGGAGTAAGAGCTCAACCTTCCCTGATCTTCCCTGATAGATTGTTGTTTATCTTCCATCAGTTCCTTCTCTATGCAAACAGTCTTAAAAGGCAACATCATAGCATCCAATAAACTGCACTAGCTTCTGACTTGTGCCGATTGAAAGACACTGACAAATTGGATGGAAGGAGAGACCACCAATAATGCAGTGGGATATCTAGCTCAGTTGATCAAGTGCCAGTGTATAGTTCTTGAGATTGCAGGCTGAAATCCTGCCACACTCAGTTTTATCGTAGCAATCAAAAAGAGAATCAAACCATGAGCCACTCTATTTTTTTCCTTCGGTCTGTTATCTTTGAATGTTTCTCGACCCCTTTGACTGAATGGCGTGGTCTCGGCATGGTTCCCAATCAGCTACCACATGGTACATGCAGTTGCCAAGTATGTGGATGACTGTACTTTTTAATACAATTTGACTTGCCATATGTGCCTGCATTATAGCGGAAACTGGCTGTGTAATTTTGGAGATTCTTGAAAAATTTATTTTGAGAAGAGCGTATATATATACGTTAAAAAACAGTGCTGAATGATGAACCAGACTGTACACATACATGTACATGCAGAAGGTAATTGCTGATGATATTAAGTCAAGGCCAGTTGTGATAGTGACAATTATATGAGCCATGCCAGGCAGTGAAATAAATTAACGACCCTGTGCAAGAAGTCTGTGCTGTTGTAAATAATGAAGCAAGCTGCCAATTGGATGTAATTACATCAGCTCTATTGAAGTGGTCTGATTTATAGCCAATTGACTGGGGACGATTGAAGCTGAACTCACTTGGCATTGATTTATATGTACACCAAGGCAACGGCTACAGCAGTATGAATCAGTGGCCAGACTGGCAGAAAGTATAATGATTATAGGTACACATAAGGGTTTGCACCTCATCAGGTGATTTGAGTAACAACAGATCAAGCATTAGAAGACATCCTAAAATTTGTTATCATTATTTAATACTCAGTATTTATGTAACCGAGTACCCAGTCATGCAGCAGGTGAAAGATGCGTTTCTGTTTCTACATGTACTGTGGAATGAATTCGAACGTTTCTTGATATTACATAATATCCCCCTAAAGGAGGGTCATGTTATGTTACACCTTATAGTGATTATCAGAGATGACAGAAAATTATTTTTTAAAGTTAAACAATGTCGGGATTCTGTGCAAGGAGTTTGTAAGTGATGCGATACAGAGTTTTTGTCAGAAATGAAAGGAGTTAGTCACCTTACATTCTAGCTAGACTACTAGTACCAGTATAAATATAAAAAAAAAATCCCGGGGGAAAATGATCTCTCTGTGAGATGTGGCATAGCACCCCTTCCACTGCGTGGGGACAGTTTTCCAAATGAGTCCAGCAGTGTGAGTCCAGAAAGGGAGGGAGGCAACCCTCATTCACAACGTAAGGGGGAACGATGCCCTAAGTGGAGGTGAGCCCAAACACGAGAGAGGAGGAGACACTTTATTTTCTATAAAGTGATTAGATAACATGTTGAAAGCAAAAGAAAAAGCAGAAAAAGACAAGATTTCCCTCTGAAAAAAAAAAAATTCGCAAGGGGGCTTGCTTGGTGGGTGCTCTCCTCTGGATCCACCTCTGAGTTTAAAAATGGAATTTCAGAATGTTCTAGCCTCCTTTGTGACCACACCACACAGAATGAGGAAAGTTTAATCAGCAACAATTTATTGACCATGGATCAATTTTATCTGGTGCCTGGTGTATATTTCATGCATAGGTTACCAGTCAAAATTTACTGTCCACCTCAAGCAGAAGGACCCCCAAAAGAGCTGCGTTGGCAGGGAGCTTTCATTTTGTTGGTACATGTAGCAATGTGACCATGATGAGTGCATTTCATATCTGTTTTTGAACCAACAAAATGCAGTTTGTTACTAAAGGAGCCTCTGTTGCTAAGAAAATAGTGCCCGATCTCTCGGTTCAGCTCGAGGCCCACTGGTTGACTATTCACTTGTCAGTGAACGAAACTTGCCTATAGTTGGCATGAATTTCTTACTGTTTCCCCCCTGTTTCCAAACAGAGCTATGGTGCTGAAGCAGACAAGTGTCTGAATATACCAGGGGAGGAACTGACTGGTGTTTACTCAGCTCGCTCTTTTGTTGGATGGTACAATGGACTACCACAAGATACTCACGTAAGCCAGTAACTTGACCAGACCTACATGCACACGTTCCTTTTCTTCATGCATTCAGATATTTTGAATGCTGCATTCTGGTTGTGTTTACAACGATATTGACAGCTATAGTTCACATAATCTTGTGTTCGTACGACCAGTTACTCCATTTCAGCTCTGCCTGATGAATCAAGTGAAACAATACAATAGCACCACATAAAGGATTTACAGTATGAACCCCAATCTGTCAAAATCCCACGTCTGAATTTGCATAGTTTTAAAAGGTATGGTTTAATATTAAGCCCAGCCTCACTTGACACAAAGCCTGTGACATTGAGTTCAGCACTCAGCCATAAATTGTTGGCAGATATTTACCAGAAAAACCACTGTTATAATGCTCAGTCAGTTGGAGTGATGTTTTATCACAAATGCTGTAAGAGGAAAGCAGCATGCCGCCGGCAGTGAAAGAATTTCATGCATATTGTCGTGGTTTCTGTCTTTGCACAGCAGTAAATAGGACTGTAAAAGCCCTTAGTACTGTAAGAATGAATGTACATCTACACCATAGTGGATGTTTTTCTTAGAAGGAAAGAGTATTTGTTTAAATAGAAGCCAATTACACCCAGCGTGCATGCACTTTTCAGGAGATTACACGACAATGAAAAAAAAAATACTGTCAACATTAATTGATAAAAAAAGAGCACACAGCTTTGTTCCTCTGCCGCTAATTGGCTAATTTCTGTACTGCAGTTCCTGAACCCACACATTAGTGTGTAGTCTTGTTGCATTAGTGGATAATTTATAATGGGAGAGGGCTGGTAGTAAGGAAGTGTCCATGTCCATCTGCATGAGTTGTACGACACGGAAACAGCGCCGCAGTGGAGTGGAGCAGAGTGGAGCTGGCATATGCTTCTAAAGCATCATTGCCTGCAGCAATAAGCTTTGAGGAATGTTCTCCGTAATGTAGTTTTCTAGAGATGAATTGATTTTAGTATTGTCGGCAGTGTTTGTTTAATTTGGGAAATTGACTGCTGGGTCAATATTGAAATTGATGGAGGACAGATCTTGGAGGGCTAACTTGACCCACAAAGGGAATGTGCCCCAGTGGACCTTGTTGGTAACTATTCAGGCAATGGCATGGCATGTATACCCTCCAGCTGCAAAAATGCAAACCCAATGTTCAGGTGTGAGCAGTTTATCACATTTTCAATCTCTGACAAGGGAAACAGGTGACGCTCTCTGTATGGCATATACATGTACTTACAATGTAGGAGAGTCACAATGTGAAGGGCTCATTTAGTGCAGGCTTTAGTTTGCAATGTGTACGGCTCATGTGCACAAGCAGTTTTCGCTGAAATGTGCACAAACCTGTGTCGTCTTTTCAGCGGTGTTGTGTGCTTTTAGTTGAATACAGTATTGAAATTGTCATTAGCTCGAAACTTTATATCCACGTCACACTTCATTCCAGTCAAGAGAACGTATTAGATGTTTATGAACACATATACTGGTACCTCTGAAAATTGAAAGGCCCGCATAACTCCATTTAATGCAAAGTTTCATTGGCCGATACTAAAGAAACATCTGCCAAAACAATCACAAAACTTTACCATGAGGTAAATAACCCGAACGAGCTTCATCTTTTCAATTTGGGATGCAGGCACATTTGACTAAAAATGATTGGACACAGTCACAATAATCATCCTTAGTCCTCCTGGCCTCTAAGTTACATGTGCGTGTAGTCGGAATGCTACTGCCCACCCATATTGTAGTCTAAACACTGGCTCTTTTATGGAGGCCATATGCTCTTGGCTGCACTGGAAAACCTTTGGTTTTGAGCTACATGCACATGTATGTACTTGGAGTTCAGTTACTGTCACTGACCCAGTTGCTACTGTGTGTACAAGACAGTGCATGCTCAAGCAGAAATAATGTTTTACAGCACACAATTTGACCGGCTTATGGCTACGTGTTTAGAAATAGAGCAAACGAATTATTCTTTTTTTTTTTGATTGAAAAAATACAGCATTAGGGTCAATAAAAAGAGAAGGAAAATTTGTCCATTTTGACCGTCCAGCTGGTCAGGGCAAAAACTGTAAGTGCTCATGTAGATTTGGGAAGTTTGCTCAACTCGGACTTGCAGTAACCCAGATGTTCTTTGTAGGGTGACTACATTTCTACAATCCTTCAAATTGTTCCAGATAAACCCTTTAGCAAACTTTGATGGATCTGGGAGTTCTGCCTGCACTGGATTTGTTCTGATGTCTCCTTACTCCCTTTGGGGGTAACCAAGTCAGCAGTGTGTAATACCAGTGCATTAGGGTTATTAAAGTTGATGTTCAATTCAGTTGCACACCGTGCATTGCTCCGACCTTGATTTTGGCTTGCCTTGGTTCATGTCCAATTACCAGACACATTTACCTGTAATTGTATACTTGTTGGGTAATTAAAACACTTAATACGGTTAGCGCAGTGAGAAGGTCCAAATGTTTCCAAAATAATAGCACTGTTGGTATGTTTTGTTTCAAGCTAAATCCAGATCTCAGTGGAGAGACAGCGGTTGTTATTGGCCACGGGAACGTTGCTCTAGATGTGGCTAGGATTCTCATTACACCAACAAGCATACTAAAGGTTGGTTTTGTACAATTTACATACATGTATAATAGTTACTGGAACCTTGTTCAGGCTACATGTAAAAAATGGAGTGTTGAATCTTACACTTTAGATAGTAGGTCAGTGATTATCTTTAAAAGGTGATTAGATTGGTTGTTGCATCTCACACCTTGTTGGTGTAAAAACTGACATACTAAACAGTTAATCACCAAGCGCATCAGGTACTGATTCAACACTTTCCAGCTGTATAAATACATTTAGACTGGGGCTGTGGAGAGGAAGATGTGTATACATTGTGTTATGTATCTTCAGGAATCCTGCACAATAAAGTTGAAGTGTGTTCCACATACATGTAAGGGGCCTATTGCATATAGTACCAAGTCTTACCAATTGGAGGAGTACAGTTTTGGTGAAACAAGATTCCTGTGTGATGGGCTCAGGCAGAGTGGGTTAAATTGGGTTAGTTTGGGATTGGCTTGTGAAAAGTCACTGAGGTGCATCTCTACTTTTCTAACATGCACAATTATGGATCATGCAGAGTCTTTCGGTGCCTTCCTTCCAAGAATGTTGGATGCTTTGGAGCATGCAAATTGAAAAGCTGCATGTCTTCACACTCAGTTTTTTTGAGGGGGCAACACTTGTTAGTTACATTTAACGCCTGCGTAGAATCACTGCTGCACTGTCCGTGATACATGTTTTTGTGGCTGCGGCAATCTTTTTGTACGCTTTCTCCTCGGTGCAGCGCACAGTCACCAAAAAGTGTCATTTTTACCAATCTGGATCATTCTATTGGTTAAGTATTGGGCTTGCGCAGAATTGCTGAAATGCGGACAGTAAATAAGCATGTGTCTGGCACGCCCCCATATCTTCGTGTCATAGTTAGTGCGGATTCCTTTCAAATTGCCTCCAAGAAAGTGCAGAGCCAACCTCCACCTACATTGTGTAAATGGGGGACACTGCATTTTCATTTCTGCCTGGAGGCTGGGTACATTCAAACGATGTCAGACCCAACACCAGTTAGTGGACGTTGGACTCCAGTCAGCATTCACTTCAGCACTGTCATAGAGAATCAGTTCTCTTCGCCCTCTCCGATACCTTGTTACCGAATTTGGGCTCTTTGTTTTGGATATTGATTGCCTCCTCTCTGATACCAGGAGTTTTGTTTGCCACATTGCTGTTCACACACGCAGCAAAAGAAGACTTTCCTACCTGCACAGCATTCTATTGGCAGCTCATTTTCAATACCCTGTATTTACCCTTGCCACAGGGTAACACGCTACTACATTTGCTGTTAAATATCCAATTTGGTGTGGGGCAGAACAGCTGTGTTTGTGTGTTTTACATCACTTTGTTCATTAAAATTGTGTCTTGTAGTTGACACAGCTGAGGGGAAATATTTATAGCCCTTGACATGTTCACCCATTTGTTTGTTTTTTTTGGTCCATCTGAATACAAAGTTACGTGCCATTTAGCAGCCGAAGCGTCTAGAATGTTCATCTTGCCATGAGTTTTTATATTTGGGTAAAATGGCATATGTACTGTGTGTCTTGGCTGTGCAGAAAACGGATATAACTCAACATGCCTTGGACGCTTTGCTTAAGTCTTCATTGAAGAAGGTGTATATAATTGGTAGACGAGGCCCACTTCAGGTGGCTTTCACAATCAAGGAGCTGAGAGAAATGAGTAAGCTTCCAGGTTGCAGGTCAGAGCTCAACCCACTGGACTTCGAAGGGCTTCAGGAGAAACTATCAGGTAAGGAAAAGGATCAGTTGTCCAAACATTAACTGTCCTAGATCCTTCACAAATCCTCTAGATGGTTTGGAGATGGAGAAGGATGTACGTGTAATGATGGTATCAGTAATGCATTGGTAACTTCATATTAGGCTTAACCCCCCCCCAATTTTTAAAAATTGTCCTGTACTGTTTGGATTTTAGAGATGTTAGGAGAGTTTCTTTCAAAATGCTGAATGAGTTTAGATTTTTGGTTTTAATTTTCAAATATGTTTGTAATATTCAGATTTGCTGTGAACACCTCTAGAAGTAGTTCAAGTTATGATTTGTCACTGTCATCTTTACAGTTATGGAGCTTGCTGGTAACATTTCTGAAGATGAAAGTATTTTACCTTGCCAAAAAATGGTTGTGGCAAGAATACGTGATCAGAAATGAATTCCTTTAAAACTGTGGGTTTTTTTTATTCAAGAAGTCACTGTAATCAATTCATACTTCAGAATACTTGCAGCAAAATTTGGTGGGAAAAACTTACCAAGTGGCATTCTGTGTAGCTTTGGAACTGACTCATGATATGGAGCACGTAATGCATTGAATGCCATATAAATAATTCATGGAGCAAGATATATAGCACACTTACATGTAGAGTAGGTGTGCTTTGGGTGGGAGGTGAATCATGCTTCTACAGTTCCACCGTGCATTATTTCCCCATAGTTTTCAATATTTATTTATTCGGACCAAATCTCTTGAGATCTAGTGCAACATTAATCATCTAGTAACCAAATCTGTCTAGCTACTAAAGCACAGTGGATTTGTTCAAATAGCAAACATGTCACCAGACAAAACGCCACTCACTGCAGATGCCTATTGCTACTGACTTACATGTTTACATACATGTACACGTCTGTTTGCTAAGTACCTACTAATTTCTGTTTGGGAGCTGTGCCGAGAAACTGGGCCAAATTATGCACATCCTACTCACTTCAGCATTTGATTTGCAAGTTGTGCCAACTGGTGTAGACTACAGCATCACTCTGTAATTGCAATATTTATGGGATCTTACACCTCTACTTTTACCATTGAGGCATTTTACACATATAAAAATTAGCCTGTGCATTTCACCAGCATTGCTTGTAGCTGCCGCGTCTACATTTCCTGTTTTTTTGTAATGGTATTTGCCAGGCTACCATTAGCATGCATAGATACACCGCAACAGCCTCATTGAAAAGCGCAGATTAAATTTAGGGATAATATGGAAATGCCTAGGATTCCTAGGCAAATCGATTCCTTGGGGAGAACGAGGCACAGATCAGTTTTCTTGTAGCGAGCAAGTGCGACAAGCAGTTGCTCTAAACTTGTTTCGAAGTCCCGGGCACAGAAATGTGAACCACGGCAAACAGTAGGCAGCTTTCGGGCAGGTAATTGGCACATTATGCAATTACACTGTGGTTGCAAAAGAGTGATCCTGACCTGATTGATTGAAATCTTCCACACAACTACAACCTCCCGGCTGTCAAAAAAAAGGTAGCACTACAAGTGACAAACACACCGGGATTCACATTCAGAGTGCGTGCATTATTGTACACGATGAAACTCTACAAAATAATGTCAAATTTAACATAACATTTATGGACCAACAGATGTACATGTAGTCTCAATCTCAGTGGTGAGAATGCAAAACATTGCTGTTAGTAATAGACTTTAGACGGACCCAGGCAATACAATGTTTGAATGCTGTTCTTTTACAGAGTCTTTTGGGTCCCTGTTCGACTTGAATTGCAATTTTTGGTGTGTTATTTTAAGGGCATTATTTTACTTTTTTTATCTTATGCTAATGCAGATTTTTATATTTATGAGCAAAAGGGCATTCATCCAAGAAAGACACTTTGGTGTTATAGTTATTTCTGCACTAAAAGGTGCCCACATTTTGCTGAACTGTTGTAAATACACATGCATGATTAGTTTTATCAAATGTAGTCATTTCTACGTGAATTAAGCATAGTTTCACTGTAACGTGTTCATTTAGTGAAAATTGTGTGGAAAACAGTTCCACATAAAACGTTGGTCAAGCTGTACTGTAGTCAATGAGGGTAAAGCACATTGAAATTCTTGAGTGGTGTTTTTTTTTTTCATTTCCTTTTATTTCACGTGTTAAAAATGTGAAAGCCACAATACGGGATACAACTAATTGTACTGGGAAGAACCAAATAGTATGGAGGAGTTTAAGCCAAGGCTTGCGCTAGGTCTGGTTCTGTTTCAGTATAGTTCAATTTTTAATTAAGAACTAGAGTAACCTAATATCCAACAGTGAGATAGGGTGAACAGAGAATTGTCACTTTGGAAACTGTCACTTTGCAAATTCTTTGTCTCCACATCTGTTTCTGAGCTGACAGCACAGAAAGATCGATTTCCACTCAGCTCAAGATCCTTGTCCAGTAGCGTTTTCTGCTCCAAAAAGGGCTTATAATTGGCCAACACACTTGATGGCCAGCACTCCATTAGAAGTAATTTATTTGATCAAGGGCCTTGTCAGAATAGATCTTTGGCGGCAGCTTACATTAGCAAGCAATGAGTTCACATTTGTGCATGGATTTTTCTTTTGGCCATGAAAATAGAATAGCAAGGTTTCTCAGCGAATAATGCCATGGGATTGAAGTTTTAGTGGCTGAGAAATAGCTAGCTTTTAAGAGGTGCTGTCGTTATTAATCATGCTAAAACTATCCAGTTTCTTCATCCCGGGCACAGCTATCAGAGTAGATATCTGTCATTTACTGCAGTGTTTGGCATCATGTTATCATCTGCAATTGCATGGAGGTGAACAAATCAGGGTTACACTTTCTTCAAAATCCAGAGGGATCAAGAAAAATACAAATTGATAAATATAGAAGAAATTACATATAAAATCAAGCTTTGAACCCTGACTTCTCGTTAATATGATCCTAATAGGCTTCTGAAATAGAGCATACCACCAAATAAGTGAGGCATTTTTTAATGTGTTAAACACTGCACCTTGTGCTGAAAAACAGTGTCTAAAGTTTGTTATTCCACAGCCAAACCCATGAAACTGTAACAGATCTCAAGTGTGGATGTACATACATGTAGGTGTTCCAGAGCAATAAGTATTTTTTCCGAACTTAAGAAAACAAAAACCTCTGAATACATTCGTGTAGTTCTCACACGCTCTTCGTTGCACGCGCTGCTTAAAAAATGCAACATAGAGTTGGATCTTGCCACAGACAGTCGTAAGTGCAGTGCAAAATTAACAATGGAACAGTCGAGTGCCTGATGTGCATTGTTCTTGTCATAGCATCACATTAAATGCGTGCTTGACATTGGCCTTTTATATTTCGCATAGTGTATGTCCTTTAAGTGAGTAGAGGTTACAAACTTGTACATAAATCTTGTGTTCAGTAAAGTTGTTCAACACCACGAACCCCTTTTTTATTGGTATCTAATTAATTGTACATGTTTGACAGTATTTAAAATAACTGATTAATATTGTTGGTGTAGTTATACCAACTTGTCAATATCATTTCAAAATTGGAAGCAAGACTGATTGTGAAATTATTTAACCCCTGAGCACTACAAGACTGCCCTAGCAGTCCCTAATCCTCAGATTTCAGTGTGATTTTACATACACCCTAGGGGGAATAGGGTTAATGTGTGATGTTGTTTAACATTCATGACTCACTCAAAGAAACAGCACTCAATTTTTGTTCCAAAGAAGTGTAGCAAACGTGGCATGTGCACGCAAGCTCCAACCATTCTTCCACAATGCTGCATTTCTTTAAGGACATTACCTACATACACCTGTGCCTGGGGCTTCCTTGATAGCTTTGCAATGTCCAAATGCAAATGCCCACACATACTAATGTAAACATGTAGACAGAAATCCTGGTCATATCATACAGTACTGGTTTCCGCAGCTCAGTTGTGTTTCTCTCTCAGATCTGCCACGTGCCAGAAAACGCCTGACAGAGCTGATGATTAACACCGCCCAGGAATCCCCATCAATGAGTGCAGACCTCTCCGGCAAGGCATGGGCTTTGAAATTCCTGTGTAGTCCAGTAGAGATTCTACCTTGTGAAAAAGATTCGGGCAGAGTTGGCGGCATTCGCCTGGCAGTCAACAAATTGAAGGTACATACGTGTATGCACATACAATTACTGTAATTAAGGTATAGTAAATGTTCTGGACTGGAAGTGATTCAGTTTCTGAACTTTTATGGATTGCAAGTCATTTTCAAATATTTATTATTTGAGAGTGGCCAATTATTCAATCAATTATAAATGTGTTTCATCTGATTCAACAAGATATTCATATGGTTACCCTGTACATTTTTGCTGGTTTCTGGGAAATTGTGTTGGACTGAAATTCATGCACTGCAGTGTTGAATCTTCTTTGATATTAAGGATTGAACATGTGATTATTAAACTAAATTTTCTATTTTTTATTGAAACATTTATAAAGAAAATAGAATTGCTCAACTTGTTGATAGTAGACTGTTCCTCAGTTTTGTTTGGATTTTTTCCTTTCATTTTTTTTTTTGGTTTTGTTTTGCTTTTGTTTTTTTACATTTTGATTTTTGTTTTTTAGCTGAAAATGTTCACTGCTTTCCGTAACATTAGTTGACATTAAAAGTGAAGGCTAGAATTATATTAATTAAACATACAGGCTTCGACATTTTCCTACTGCGGCTACTTTGTCTTTGTTGACACATTGTATCTATATGATAACTTCTAAATCTGTCAGTTGAATTAACGATTTCTCCAAAGCTCTGTACCTGTTGCTTGCACACTGAGAGAAACGTGCGGAAAGAAGATAATAAGTGTTTAGTATGAGAGGAGGGATGAAAAACCGGGACAAATGTTCTGGGGGAAATCTGTGGAATCAGGTTGGGAAAGAAAAACAAATCCATACACCCCCATTGTAAGTAGGATGTGAAGGCAAAGAAAGTACATTGTTCCACTGCACCAACCTGACCCCCATGTGCTGATCCGAGTCGCTGGAAGCCAACCTGAAGACTCCCTTAAATAGAAGCAGTATTTAGCAATTATGGACTGCTGTGATGTGAGACGTGATGTTTTAACACCCAAGGGACTCATGTTGCCCCAAGGCGAATGTGTCCCTAAAGGTGATGAAACATCATGTCCCACTTTACAGCTGTCAATAATTGTTACACCTCTGTCTTGCCTTCTCTTCTAATATTTCCCTCACCTGAAGGTCTTGAATGCAATCAAAGTGACAAGTGCTTCTGTTGCTCCACAGAAAAATGTAGAATGCGCACACAGCTGTAACAGCACCATATCAGTTTGATTGTGTTGGTCACACATTTCTGGCTCGAAAGCAATATTTTCATGTCTTCAGAACCATTTTTTGAGAAAAGTCTGCACGTATCCTTTAGCTCAACAGACATTATGTCAAGGAACTTTCATAAAGAAATGAACTTCAAACAGCGTTCAGCTGTCAACCCCAAATTGCAGTGCTCCAACATCTAATGGTATCGCCAGAGCCAGTTTGCTGCTTTCATCAAAGTTTACCCTCTGTCTGGTGAAAGTAGAAGTGGTACCAATGAATAGTCTAGTTAGCGCTACACACGTTATGTTTGGACTGTGGAGTGCAGACTGTATAGTCCATTATATCACGTTATGGTGCCCGTTGGTGAGGCTGGCATGCATATTTGTCTCCTGGTCATGTGATCATTCTGGACCAATGAAAATACAATTTTCAAAAACAGGTATGAGAAATGGCTTTGCAACACACCATACATAAACGGTCAACTGTTCAATATAAAATTTAAGTATCTGAATGTAATGGAGTTATTCCACCCTGCTGTCATACGTAGTTGGATTCTTTGAGTTGCGTACATCCATAGCTTCAGTAAGATTACTTGTACCTTATATATTTAACCCGTTTAAAGCATTTGTGTTAAAAAAATTGTGTCACTGAAATCTTGTCATTGCAGGATTTCATGTGATTACATGTAATGGCTTGCCCTCGTTGCTCTTGTGTCACCACAAACATGTTTTCCATAAAAATGACTGAAAAGACACGTCAAAAATAGAGGGGTAAAACATGTTTGACCATTTATAACGAAGTGAGAAGAAGAAAAATCAGAAACATTTTGGAACACTGAAACATACATAATGAAAAAATTCCAAAAAATTCAAAAATAAACGAGCAATTCCTAATGTTGGTCCACAAGTTAATGATTCGTAGCTTTTAAATGATTTTTTTCATTTAAGGTTTCATCATTTATAAAAAGAAACAAATAGTAAATACATTGTGCAGACAGTTAGCAGCTCATGCTGTCCACCTGTACCTCTTAACCAAGTTGGGCTGTCTGCACGTGCTTACAACAGCCATCTAAAATGTTTCACGTGCGGAATGCTTAAAATTTTGAGTTCAGGATAAAAGCCATTAAATTCATAAAGTGGTTTGTGATTAATTGAGTTGAAAACGTAACTGGATACATGTGATTGACTATGGATCGATTGATGGAGTTAGTGAATAATACACTCACAAACGTATGCAGGTAAAAGAACCCCAAACCAGTAGATGTTCATAGTGTTTGTGTGTTTGAAGACAGATTGGAGTTCATTGAAAGACAAGAAGAAAATGGACCACGCCAGGCCGTTGTCCCCTGTCTCTGCCTCCCTTTGTTTTGCTTTTTTTTAACCCACTTGTGTGTGTTAAAATAAAGCACGCTGAGTTTTGACATTAAAGTTTTGATTTTGAGAATGTGACCTTTTCTATCTCAGCATTTGCTGAAACAACCATTGCAGTGGCACTTTATTTTTCCCCTGACTTGTAAATCGTCTCCACTACAGCATTTCTGCATGAAATGACTGCTGCACTTTTGAAAAATCAATTTGATTTTTCGAAGTGCTAGGCACTTAATTTAGTTATGTCTTTGTGCCTTGTGCGGGCAGCGTGGCGTGATAACAACATATGCCCAGGAGTGCGTTTTTCTCTGTGGTCAAAAAAGGGTCATTTACAACACAGAAATTCAAAACTTCCCTATGGAATATTTTTGCCTTAATAAGCAGCTTTGTTCACAAGCCATGATTATGAGCCATTAATGACCAAGATTAATCACCCCTTCCTCATTTCTTGCAATTGTTTGCAAGAAAATAAAGTGAAAGGTGACAACTGGACAGACTAAAAGTTGCTTTGAGTAGTAACGATACATGGGACAATTTTAAATCAAGTATTTAACCACCTTGCGTAAGACAAATGAGTTCATTTCTTCCTGTATTTTTTCTTAGATTATGATTTCAGAAAAATTAACGCTGGCTGGGCTTGGTTTTATGTACATGTATTATGAAGCTTGAGACTATTGGCAATGCTGAATTCTTGCTCAAAGCATAATGCAAGCATTGACATTGGTTTTGATTAGAATATTTATCAGTTGGTAATTAAACGCTACAGTCATTGTCTACACTCGTGTCGTTAAAGTTTTAGAAAATTCAAAATCTCATCCATTATCCAATAGATTTCTTGTATAAGGAGAAACAAATCCTCCTGTGTTGGGACTCCTCTAAATGTTCTACCTGCACTGTGTAAGTTTGCTTTAAGCAAGGAATTGCTTGTCTCCCCTTTTCCCTGGGGCTAGTCTTGAGCAGGTGGGCATTACCCTTCAGAGTTCGTGGGCAGTTATCAGAACCAGCAGTAAGAGATGTAAAGATCTTTAAAGGTATATACAGACGTATAAGTAGTAAGCATACCTTTTGTGCTGTTTTTGTTGATGTATTCTGGTTATAAGGGGGATTACTGCTCACTTTTACGTGAGGCTGGCATCGATGAGAGCGGATTCCCTGCAGGTTAGCTTGGATTTGTGGAAATTCCACCAAGTAAGATTGTACGTGTAATGCAATAGTTCAGAAGTTGGAGTGATGTAGAGAAGTACAGGAAAATCTTAATATGCTCGCAATAGTGCGTAATCCAGCTTAAAAGGCTCTAGGTGTCCATCACCACCTTACCTCCAACCTTTCAGAAAAAGCACTACTGTGGGACTGACATTTCTGCGTAGTTGAGTTCATGATCAGTATAGCGATCGTTCCATAATTTTTAAAAAGGCGGTGCGCACAATTTCAAACATTAAAACCCCAGTATTTCAATGAACAAAGCATCGATGGTGCAAAAAAGCAAATAACTAGTTTGGAGCAGATCTAAAACAACTGCCCAAAAAAGGCACCAAAAAAAAAGCCCCCCAAATGGGGCGAATGCCGGTGGCCTCCCGCCCCCTGATCTGCAACTGTCAGTGCACATGTATCCCCAGGATATTAACATTTTCCCAAAGTTCCATCTGGTTCCAGCCATTGATAATCACAGAATTTTCATAGTTCCTGTTGAAACGTTTCTGTTGGTCACAAAACTGTTTTTGAAGGCAGGGGAAAACCATGATACATAGAATCACTTTTTGCAACTGACAGAAGCTGATGTACTATTTCGCACAGGTGTGAACTCTGTATGGCATCGCTTATGACAGCTATATGTCCATCGCATACACACGAAGGTAATTCTAATCCAAATCAATGCTCGGCGCTGTGCTTTACTCGGAAAAATCACGTAGTCTTGCTTCTGGGGTGTCCTTAAACTCGTGTTGGAAGGAAACCAAGCCGCAGTTGCTACTAAAACCCCGTGATCCAGATTCTCTGGTCTTTTTCATTGACGTTATTGTCAAATACGTACCTGTACACGCACATGGAGTACCCATGAATTTGCACCTCGTATATCTTGAGCTAATCGCTTTTACAAGGGAGACAATATTTGAGCGGCTTTAGTAATTGTTCAATGAGCTCTCATGCGATGGCAAACTGAAGACTTAAACCTAACCCTCCTCAATCCTTCACCTGTTGGAGGACTGAGGAGTGTTAGGGTTAATGCACTTATTACATTAAAAGGATGGTCAGATGTCTGATTAATAAGCCTGTTTGCTTTAGAAAATGATATATGTCAAAACTGTTGGGAATGTTATGACCGTTTACAGCACAGCTCATAAAATCGGCTCTTCGGTGTCCCTATCCATGGGCATCGCCAGGATTTCTTCCAAGGGGGAGGGCAAACCATATTTTGACACACAATGGGAATAAATAAAACAAGCCTGCCGACAGATGAGAATTGATATTTCATGATA